TGGTTCTCTGCTAAACAATTGAGAGGGGGAGGGGTTGAGAGCTGCACAGAATTTGCTAAAGTTGTGTCAGAGGCTTGCAAAGCAGAGCTGAGCAGGAACAGTGGAGTTGGTGCAGTCATGGGGGCAACTTGCAAAGGCACAAGTGAGAGCAAAATGCTAAACTCCCACTGATTTGGGGCTAAGGCGTATGTGCCTGTTAAAATCTTCCCCTGGTCCCCAGTGGGGGCTGTGTTTGATTACCTCCCTTGAATCCTAGAGAAGTATTGGGGAAAACGGACAATATACAAGGCACTCATCTCAGAATCTCATGGCCTGCAGAGACAACTTTGATTGAACCTGTATTTGCTAAATATGCTCCTCACCAAACCTGTACAAGTTTGTTTAGTTAAACAAAATGAAGATCGCAAGGGGGTACGATTACTCTTGACAAAAAATAGTTATGGGGTGAACAGTAGGGGGAGAGGAAAGTTTCTAAGCTGAAAATTAATAGCAGCACAATTTCCAATGGCTAAAAGTTGGCTATGAATCAATATAGACCAGTGGTGCTCAACCTTTTCATCTGGTAGGCCACATGGTCAGTGCCTGGTATGTCTGTGGGCTGGATCCAGTCAATGGTCCCAATCTGGCACTTGGGGCATGCATGGCAGGGCATGGGGTGGGAGGCAACCCCAATCCAGTTGGGTGGGAGAAGGGGGCTTGGCCCAGTCCTGTGTGGGGTGGGGGACATGACCCAGCCCTGATCCACCACATGAGGAGGGGGCATGACCTGGCCCCAACCCAGCCCTGTAGTGGGAAGGGGAAGAGCCATCCCTTGGGTAGGGAGAACTGGGGCAACTGCCATGGACCCCACGCTCTGGGGGGCCTGTGGAGCCAGGAGGAGAAGCCATGGCCTCCCCTGCAGGGCCTGCCTGGAGCTGGCTGCTCAGCCCTGCGCCCGTCCCCTGTGACTTCATGTCTTCTGAAGAGCGGCTCGTCGGGGGCACACAGGATCTGCTTGGTTCTGGGTGCCAAATTTCATCGCTATGGCACTGCCATGCCCAGCCTTTGCGGGGGGGTCCCATGGCCTCGCACAGTGTTAAAGGGTCAGCCTAGGGTCAGCTCTGGGAAGGGGACATGGATTCACTAAAAAGGTCTGCACCCATCCAGCTGCACAGGGGGAGAAGATGTGGCCCAGCCCTGTGGAAGGAAGGAGTGGTTTGGCAGTGTTAACTGCTGTGCTGCCAAATTTCCTGACCCATGGGGAGCTGTGGGCCAGATGCTGAGGCTCCAAGGGCTGGAGGTTGAGCATCCCAGCTACAGACTATCAGAAAAGTGAAGTTTTGAAAATGAAGTAGTGTGGAGGAAGAACTTGAACTGCTTTAAGACTAAACTCCATGAGTTAAGAGGGGGCATTTTGACTGAGGTAGGCTTAGTTGATGTTTCTACCAAAGTTCAAAAAGCTCAGAAGTTTCTAGAAAGTGGGCCTTGCTTTTCTGTTCAGGTTCATGCTGATTGCTAAATCTGGGGTCAGGAGGGAAGATGTCCATCCCTAAAGTTGGAGTGGTGCAGACTGGTGGGTTTTACCTTCCTCTGTGGGCCACTATCCTATTCCTAGGATCCTTCGAACTTATGTTATATTAACCAATTGTTTCCCTGTCATTGTAGTGCTTGTCTACCTGTTTTTACCTATAGCACATTGTAGGGTAAGGACTGGCAACCTACAGCTCATGGGCAGGCTGGATCTGGCACCTAATAGGGAAAAGTGGCTGGTCTGCCTCAGACGGAGCTGGGTTCTTTCAGCTCATTGCTCCTGACACGGTGTTGGCCACTGCTGTAGGGTGTTCTGGGCACTTCTGGTTTTTGAGTCTTGCAGCTGTGTGAGGGTTTGAAACAGTGATATTTGGAGAATCCTTGGTTAAGTGCACAAATGCAAAGAACATAATTGAATGGCCCAGGAGGCCCCTTTCAGCCCTGGGTTCCTAACTGCACCCATTAGAACTGGTTGCAGTTGGGAGAAGCTGTTATTAATCCAAAGCTAGAGACTGAGACTGCTGAATTACGTACAAATTATCAGACATAAAAAAGCAATAAAAAGCAGGGGTGCTTAGGCAGTAAAACCTCAATGCTCCAGGCAGTTACATCTTCAATATATTACAAATACACATATTATATACACGTGTGCACTTGTGTACATACACATACAAAAATGCTAACCCTGGACATATAATCAAATAAAGGGGGAAAAAGAAATAATTTAACACTTAGTTGTAAGGAGTATGAGAAGCCAGCAGGCTAATGGGTGCAACCTGCTGAAAGAAAATAACTGAAGGAGTGACATACAAGCAGACAGCAAGTTTGTAAGGAAATGCAGTAGCGCACAACACTGAACTTTAACATTTTGGCTAATGATCAACCACAGGCACAAGATCCAACTAGTAGAGACCCGTTATGATGGGTAGCTCTAAAATTGAAATTGTTTCTCCTTTCCTAGCTTAGAAAATCCTATGTGTTTCTCTCTTTTCCCCTTTTAAATATACCTGTTATCATTGGACTGTCCAGATGTAGCTACTAGACTTGAAGATGTTATGAATGCGAAGTCACTGGTGGTTTTACTGTGGCACTGCCAGCTCTATAAAAAAAACAACACAATGAGGTGCAGTTTTATCATCTATACAATACATCTGTTACCAACAACAAAATAAGAACAGAGATGAAAAAGGAAAGCTAAATAAATATATTCCAAGCTTGAATATTAAACAAAGATTCTAAAACCTCTACTAAGTAACTACACTACAACAAATCCAGAGTACAACATGCAATTTATTAATCTGCCTTCAATGAAGTTTCCTCTTTGTGTACTGTTAATTAGCAGTGCAAAGAATTGATGACATTAAGTTATTTTATTTTTTAAAGTCTTTATGTACTGTAGTTGTTGCTTCTAATTGTGAATCTTGCTTAATAAAAATCAAGGGTAACATAGAGGTGGCATTTATAATTACATTAACACCTGTACTGTTTACGCTGAAATGAGTTTTTTTTAAAGTTGTTCTGTCAAAAATCATACTTGTTATGATAAAGCTTACTAAAAGAAAAGCAAGGAACATCAATGAAGCTATGCATAGTACCTGACCATACTTCTGGCCTGTTTGAAACTTCTGAAGAATAAAAGATACTGAATATGGATTCAGATAAATTCCTCTCTAGAAAGAAAAAATAATGTTATATTACTTACCAGATAGGGCTTAGGATTCGATGCAGTTTGGTTTACTTGCCACACACTTAAAAACCCTTCTCCATCAGCAACACCGCACTGCAAGAAAGAAATTATTTTTTTTTCTATTAACAGTGATTCTTGAATGGCTCCCATTTAAATGGGCATTTTTTATGTCTTCACTTGTTTTTAACAACATTTTGAAACCAGCACTTTTGTCTACAAGTGTATTAAAAACTACTGCAAGGAACCAAGACACCTGAATCCTACTGTCACAAGTGACTTGGCTAAGTCTACACAGTTAAGACTCTTTCAAAACCAGTATTCCTATTTTTTAAAAATGATGTGGGCGTTTAGGATTATGTGGAGGCATAACAACTCCACCTTGTACCCTGGGTGCAGCAGTAGTACCTGCCATTCTTGTGCCGCCTATAAGTGCCATGTGCTAATGCCTGGTCACCTGGCTACTGTGACTAAGGTAGAGGTGGTGCTCTCACCTTCCCTGGAAATCTTCAAGAGGAGACTGGACAGGCACCTGGCTGGGGTCTTATGACCCCTCCACCCCCAGTGCTCCTTCCTGCCCATGGCTGGGGGTTGGACTCGATGATCTGTTTAGGTCCTTTCCCACTCATTGATTCTATGATTCTAATACTTTCATGCTTTTGAAAGATTTCACACTGTAAACTTGAAACGGGTTATTTTAAAAAATGTCAAAGCATCCAGCAGGAAACAACATTAATTAAATTTAATAAAACAAGGTACATGATGGACTGCTATAGGAATGATTATGGAATAACTGCAAAGACTATGGCTGATACAGACTGACTCAAATGAATAGGAACAAACTCTTCATTTGATGTTGTTTAATTTCTAAAAGTTTTGTCTGAGAAAAAAATCTTAGAAAACACTGAGGAATAGCAAGTGAAACATTTTTAAACTCTTTCACTTGCCATCTGACTCCATAAGCCCTGCTTGAGCTATTTCTGCATACGGGAAACTTGATGCTATATTTTAACAACCAATAAAATTTTCCTGAAACGGACTGCAATCTTATGGCCTGTAATAATGTAATCTATCAGGCCAGGAAACAAGGGCTTTATATAATCTAAAACAAGGTGTCTATAGGGGTGGTTTTAGGTTTCCAATTGTCCCTAAATTGAATGATTGCCTGGATTCCAAGGTAACACATTTGTTGTCCTATGATAACCTTGGAGAGATACCAAAATATTCTTGATGTGTCACATATCACTTTTATTACCTTATGCTCCAAGCCAGTGCTCTAGATTCCTCATAAGCTTGATCCTGGTTGAGCTTCATTTATCTTGCTCTCCCCTTTGAAGCTTTTTCTTTTTCCTCTACTGTGCAGAAGGGCCATTGTAGGCTAACAGTCCCAGACTGACTCTGCAGAGGTCATTGCCTGAACTTCACTTCTCTGCACAGATGGGCTTAATGGGCCCCTATACACATGATGGACCTCCACCTCCGACCCATGCTAATTAGCATGGGTTGGAGCAGACTTGATTGAGTCTGCTGCAATGAACTGAATCTGCTAACTAGCATGCACCAGCAGCCTCTGCATCATGTGTATTCAGCGTCCCTATGTTTCAAAATGGTGGCGGGGCACTTTAACTACAGTTTGTTGAATGGCCTTTAATTAAAGTGCCCCTGTTGCCATTTTGAAGCACAGGATGCTAAGTACATGTGATGCTGTGGGTACGTGTGACACTGTGGGCACTAATTAAAGTACCCTCCCACCCCAACACATGTATAGATGCCCAATGTGCTTGTTAGGTCAATCAAAACAGAGCAGAGAAGGGCAGCCTCAGCCTTCTCTAGTTTTAACCAAGACTACTTCTGCATAGTGGATGGAATTAACACAATCACATTTTCTTGCTATCCTTACATTAGGATAAGTGGGCTGGATGAGCCCTTGTATTCCAGGATAGGAAGGCAAAGGTTTAAAATGCTGAGAAATCTGAAGGTTGCAGGTATTCATTTATAAAAATGAATGGGTCCAATTATTGTTAAGGGCTGTGGCTGCTCTCAAGATATTTTTGTGGATACATAAGACTTAGGTGCTTTCAGCCTGTGCGGAGATTGCATGAGCTGGAGGGACACTTGGGCTACTTTTCCAGGTAAGTTACGAGGGAATTCTCTGGCCAGGTTCAAGGGAAATTTTGTATTTTCACCACTGCTAACCTCTCTTTTCAGCTGTCACTGACCACTTCTTCTGTTTACCCAGCTCCGAAGATACATCTCTGCGAGCCTAATCCCTCTCTTGGTCCCGATTCAGGTCATTTGCTCATATAGCTGTTTATATCTTGAAACCTGCCCTCTGTCCCTGGTGTATGACTGAGTACTGCCCCTCTTGTAGATTAGTCAATTAAAAGTTAGAGGGATAGAATGATACCACATTTGAGGTGAAGGGAAGCAAAGTTCATTTGGTGGTATAAAAAAAAGCAACAATTTCTGAAGCTGCCTTGTGGTAAGAAAAGAATTGGTAGTCCCAGTGATTTATAGAAGGACAGCAAATGGGAAGCAGGGACCCATGCCTATCACCACCACTGATGAGATATTATATCAGTTACTACCACTTTGACATTTATATTTAAATGATTTCACTGTCACTCCGTAGAAAAGCTTCCAAGACCTGTTTTGATAATTTCAAAGAAATAGTCAAGTGCAGCTTTTCTGAGTTGTCTACTCCTTTTCTGCATGTATGACAAATCACAGGAAAAGAGTATACATCTTGGCTGGCTACACGATTACCAGCTCTTATGGTCTTTCCTGATCTGGAGTCCTAATCCTCTGTAATATTATATTTTCCACAATACTCAATCACAAGGGGGGATTATTTCTTTGTGAGAGGATCCACTGGAGAAAATTCTTCAGTAAAGATCTTGTTTTTATGCTAGTATGTCTAATGTGACAGGCAAGGAGAACAGAGTATGAGAGAAACAGAACAGTTTCTGTATACTTTGGGCACTATTCTTTAACTTTTACTTTAAGTCGGTAGAATTCTACTGAAATCAGTGGCATTACCCTGGCAAAAACTCATAAGCCAGGGTGGAGAATAATGCTCAGGGTTTTTTCAAACTCATTCATGAGCCAAAAAAGAGTAGGTACATTAATAGCTGTGTCAAAAACACCAGCAGTGACAGCAGAACAATGGAGAAGTCAGTCATGGGCCACATTCAGGGGAACACCACAGCTTTGCTGGATTTTACCTCTCTCACATAGTGCAATGTAAATGCCTGATTAAACCTATTTTACATCTGTTTTAGATCACTGACATGCCAAAAAGCAATTGGAGCATACGTCTGAATCTATCCCCTAGTCAGATTCACTAAAAAGGTCCATTAATAACAAATGAGGAAAAAATACAGAGGAAGTCAGCCCATCAAGAGAAGGCAAAAAGAAGGCAAAGTCTACTCTGAGTAATGACTAGTAGCTTGTGGGGCTAGGAAACCATATAGGTAGCTGTTCAATAACTGCACCTGGGCGGGTGGTGGGAATCACAGTCATATATCCAATAGGCCTGGGCAGTAGAACAAATGTAGCGAAGCAGAGACCAAGGGACGGTTAAACCAGGTTTACAGTGTCCTTTCTCAAGTCGAGCACTGTAAAGAAGTCAAAACCTAGATGTTTCTCAAAGTTTCTACAAATCAATACCTTGCAAGAATATATATATTGGTGAACACTTTCTGTGGAGAGACTACACTTTGCAAAATGCGCTTGACTACTAATATTACATGAGAGAGTAAGAAAAATGTAAATTCAGTACAGTATTTATGCCATTCTCCTAAAAAATATCCTCACAGGATCCATTAATGGGATAGTTAAATACAAGTGTTAACATCTCTTTCTGCTTAAACTGCAGGGTGGAATATTATCTCTGTTGAGCCTGACTAACTACTATGAGGTATAAATAACAGCCAAAATTCCTGAACAGACAGTTATATGTATACTACAATGAAGAGAGAGGCTGCGTAACAGTGTACATTTGTTCTGTAATATATGTAACCAGGGAGGCTGTGGCTGTTTTCAGCTTTGATCTTCTTCAAACTCCTACTTGGGGCAAAATGTGAACCTTTGATTCATTTTGATATTTGGGAGCTCACCACTGAGTAGGTGGTTCATAATCTATCCCACAAACAACAAGGCTTTAGCTATCAAAATAAGAGCCTGTGTCTGTCTCCTATTACTACTGGATGTAGATTATTCATGGGATTAAGTTTATAGGATGTGTCATAAAGGTTATATGACCAGATCCAAGCCAACCTATTAGACATCTAAGTGAACTTGGAAGTGTGCTTCTGTGCTCTCCCAAACATTTATTAACGCATCTAACTTTTGTAACACAACACCATCTTGTCCTTAAGACACGAGTCACAAAAAGTAATGACAAGGAAAGGGACCCACCCACCCTCTGTAGGACTCTAGCAGGTGGAATAGAACTGCATTTAGGAGCCTAAGTCCCACTTGCATGCCTAATGGATTCTAGTGGACTAGAATCTGGCCTTACAGTCTGCACAATGGTCATTACTATGAAAACTGAAAGTATTTCATTCAATATAGATTAAGGATGTATTTGACTGGTGTTTTAGGTTGACTGTTCATATGTAACTTTAAGGATTGCTGGATATGGACAGACAGATATAGCATGTATGTATAATGGGAATTAAATTGGGGCAGTTTATTGTGGCATAGAAGTGGACACACAAAACAGTTGTACTGAACGAAAGCCTGCCCCCCAACCCTCCTCTGGGGTGAACTCCCTGTGTTTGCCAAACTATATTCCTGGTTTTACATTCTGCTGCATTCTAGTCCTTCTTGTGCTGGCTTAGTTTACAGCATCATTAAATATTTATTAAAAAAAAAACAAAAAAAAAAAAAACTTTGAGGTTACCAACCTTGTTGCCTTGGGAATTGAAATACATTCTAGTAACCCTTGCATTGCCAGCTTGCCGAAAGCACACCAGTTGCTGTGGTCTTGTCCACTCAAACATTCGAACACTGCCATCTTGGGCTCCTGTAAGATCTGGGGGCAGGGGGAGAGGGGGGGCAGTAAAGAAAGGAAGAAATATGTAGGTGATTATCAATCAACAGGAGAACATTGTAAGATTTACTGTTTGTCCATTTGATGAAGAATATTTATACTGATAAATAGCAATTTACTTACAATATTGATGGACTGGATGTGAAGCCATTCTCTTAACATTATTCAGATTTCTTTTAATGAGCTTCATAGAAAAGAAAAATGGGACATTCAATTTCTAAACTTCTAAAATCAGACATAGTGTTTAGATTAGCTTTGAAAATATAAAAGCCACTCAGGCTACTGTACAACGAATGGACTGCCTTTGGGTCCCCAACCTTAGAGACTGAACATCACGTTCTTTTCTAATTAGTTTCAGGTGCAACACAGTAACTAAGCACCTCAGTTTAGAAAAGGACTCGTTTTTTTAGGACAGCATTAAAGCATGTACTAATGTCCCAGTGAAGTCAATGGGACTTAAAAGAGTACTTAAGGACATGCTTCTAATCTAGTACCTGAAAACAAGAGTTGAAATGGTATTTTCCTTAAGAAGGGAACAAAACACCCAACAAATCAGAGGTCTCATTAAGGAACAGAAAGCAAAAGTTCCCAGAGAAAAGCAACATACTTCTAATATTATTTTAGACTACAAAATTTTAAATTTAGGAATATGGCAGATTCAGGTAATTATTCTAAAAATAATTTAACAGATTCTTTTTCAGTAGGGGGTTGGAAAGGATTCCATATTTTTTCTTATTCAATGTTCAATAAAAAAATAAGTTTTTTTTGTGCCTGTCCAAAATTATTAATGTAAGGGAAATATTTAATTGGTTGAGCATCTTTTCCCAGCTCATAGTATTTATGGCCCTCTCACGAAAGACACTGAATGGATTCTTCTAATATTGTTAGTCTTGGTATTAAATATTAACAATATCATAAAAAATGAAATACATACTACACCAGCTCCAGTGCTTGTTTGTCCACTGCCTAACCAGGGCATAGAGGAAGATGACTGAATCTGACTCACTCCAAAAGATGGTGCAGTAGATTGAGTGAGTGTTGTGGTAGACCCACGGAAGTCAATGTCATCTGAACTGTAAAAAGATAGCAGTGTTACTCTTTTTAACTGAAATACTGTGCTGTTTACAATATTACCTGCTTAATGCTTTGCTAAAATTCTGGGAGTTAAAGTGGCAGCTGGAAGAGTGTCAATTAATCATTTCTGCACTTTGTTACAGGAACAGGCAAAAATGAATGGCCATACCTGTTTCTTACCAAGTTAAATTTATAGTAACTTAGTTCAGTTGTGTTTTGGCAGGAGAATGTGGCTGTAATAGGGCACATACTAAACACTCCTACACCTTTGTCAAGTACTGTGAAATTCATGGATGAAGAATATATAGCAGCAATAATAAAAAGAACATGAACCTTCTGGACTACAGGTACCAGTGTGTAATTTCAAAGTGAAATATTAATATAATTGCAAAGAAAAAAAAACCTCACCTCTTGGATTCTCTGTCGTATTCCTCCCCAATCCATATAAATGACTGAGCAGCCAATAGAGCTGAAATATCAAGCTCTTGCACATCATGTGTGGACGCTAAAACAATTTCATTGTTGTTTGCCTATGCAGTACAAATAGACCGTTCATTGTAGTTTAAATTTTAGAGTAAACAACAATGTATTATATCTATTAGTAATAATGTTTATGGCTTTTACCTTATTTACAGCAAATGCCATTATCATATCAGACTCTTTGTGAATGATTTTTGCTTTCCCCCCTGGGTAGCCGAGATCTGCTTCAACCTACAAAATATTCATCAGTGAGTTTTAATTGACAGGTAAATTGCTTACGTAGTGTTATGTACGGACTGCAAAGTCTTTAAGTCATGCAAAAAAGTTCAGTGGCCTCAGTACTGGTTAGGAAGCTAAACTTTAGACATCTTATCTTCTTTGTTCTAAAAGCCAGAAGGGTTTGTGTGTTTGAAAATCAAAGCATAAATGCACGTGTAACAGAATTTACAAGGTGTTTGCTCACATCCCAATTATGGAACATCCAAAATTAATGCCCTGGTTAAGCCTGTTGCACAGAGACTACACAGAACACTGAACTTCTGTTAGTCATATTAGAGAAAGAAAAGCCAGTCCCACAGAACTTTTAAGAATGTGCTAAAGGTTTGGGAGAAGGGATACTACCTTGCTTTTGTCATCTTCTGCTACGCAGTTTTGTTTGACCTGCTCCGCACGATCTTCTACAGACTACATAACACCACACAGTCACCAACACAACACACATGCACAAACAAATATAAAAAAAAGAATGAAACATTCCACACTAGATTTAAAAAGGCCACCCTGTCAGTAAGTGATGACAAATGTATTTGTAACTTCTTATAAAAAGGCACAGAAACTACAACAGGAATCTAAACAAACTCACTTAAAATGTAATGCCTCCTAGATGAACACAGAATGTATGGTATAAGCAAATAAACAGAGGAGCAATACACACACAAACTCCATACTTACAGGACTTTAAGATAAATAGTGTACTTGTTTTGATTTTTAGTTATATATCAAGAGTTTAATTTTAATTACAACTCATTTCAGTTGTAACTATTGTACAGCTCATAAAACCCATATTATATATTATTATATAATATTATTTGGTATATGTATATATTACACATGCATATATACATATGCACACATTTAAATAAAGCAGTTTCTGATTTAAATGTATGTGTTATATGAAACCACAGAGAGCATTTCCTGTTAACCTATGTATTATTCATATAGGAAGTTAAAATGTGTTTAAATATATCGATTATTTGTAAGCCGAGTTATGCCTTGTCTACAAACCTTTATTTCAGTTTGAGTTATACTTCAATAAATAGCATGCTATCATTCAGATTTAAAAACACTGCTGAAGTGGAAGTTGAAATGCCAACCAAAATGAAAAGAGAGAAATAAAAATAAGAGATATTTAAAAGATCAAGAAAAGTTGGTTTTTAAAAACTTCAAACTCTATTATTATTTCCTTTTTTACCTCACTTTGCTTTCTTTTCTTAGTGAATATATATCTAATGAAGGTGTCTTGAAGAAGCTCTTGTTTCACAAGAAAATGCCATAATCTCTTAGCTGGAAGCGCTGAATAATCTTTTGATCTGAAAGAAAAAAAAAAGCATTTTCACATAGAAAACTTGGAGAAAAGAAAATTAAGAGAATCCAAATTTATTTAAAACACAATTCAAACTGAAACAAAGTCATGATCTGTAGGCTTTGTATGCAATCCAAGACAAACCTGTTTTTTAATTTTTTAAAAATTAT